GTTACTATTACTCAGCTTCAGTTCATTATCTAGCAAACCAGATTAAGATGAAAGAACTAAAACTACTCTAGCAAACTACAGTTAAAGTTAATCTAATTATAGGTTGGGAACTCACTTAGGTATGATTCCTCCTAGCCACTAGCCAGATCAACGATTGATGATCTCTAACTTGTTTCACTTTCATTCACAATGCGGAGAATCCTTGACTAGACCTTGAGTCTCGACTAAAGGAACAAGGCCCTCTTGAGTCAATTGCCTAGAGGGACGTATCCTTCTCTAGAACAACCGATCAAGGCGTTCTGAACTAGACTCCCTCTATCGAATGAGGTTCTCAATCGATACAAAGCAGTGAATCAACCCTCGACTAAAGCAATCGATCCACTACTATCAATCTAAGCTGCTCTATTGACCTAATCAGGTATTCGCTCTCATAGAATCAAAGCAGAATCAATAATCTTGACTAAAGTAGAATTGAATCGTGAAAACATGCATAGATTGAATATGAACTCAAGATTATCTAGTTAGAGTACTCATACAATCATCCAATCAAACAAACATAGCTAGGGTTCCTCAAAACCTAAGTGAAGGGAAGTTACTCCATAGAGAAGAGAGAGATTGCAGTAAGAATCTTCAGATGATCAGTCTTCAAGTCCGGGCTTGTTCCTCGAGCTTCCAAGGCGAAGAAATCCTCCAGTTCCACTCCAAGAATGCCCTCAAATCGCCCTCTCTCTCTTTGGTTCATCCCTTGGGTGTTTGGGATCCAAAACCTCGCTCCCCCTCTCCTTTGGCTCGAATTTGGGTTAAAACCCAGAATTTCCCGACTCACACGGCCAGGCCACGGCCGTGTGACTCTCCCAGGCTGCCCGTGTCAGTGTCAAAACGCGGAGTTTCGATAAGTGGCTTCAGGCTTCCTACACGGCCACGACCCACACGGCCGTGTGGACTTCCAGGGTGCCCGTGTGAGTTCCCTGGAATTTCCACACGACCACAAGGGGTCCCCTACACGGCTGTGTGGCTTTTAGGCATGCCCGTGTGGCTTCTCAGCTTCTCGCCAAACGTCCAAACTTCGTCCAATCGACCCCGAACTTGTTCCTAGAATGCACCACCTGCCCCATTCACCATCATTCACACTTGATTTGGTAACTTCATTCTACCCTCATTGTCTTTCCTCCATTGAGGACAATGTCATGCTTAAGTGTAGGGGGAGTTCCATTATGTTTGCAAGTGAATGTTTGGTAGTATGTGTGTGCTTGGAGCCTAGTCCACTGTCCAAATTTTGATTTGAGAGCTCCAAGTACATGTTTCCTACAATTGTCTTCTCAGTATGCTTTGAATTGACAGTCTTTATAGTATTATGCAACCTAGGGAGGTAGTGTAGCACTATGGAGGATGTTAATGCATTAAGAAGTCTCTTTTCTTCTTCATATTGTCTTGGTTGATTGTGAAAAGTAGTGACCTTAGGACACTTGAATTGTGTGGTGTCGCTGACTCTCTACCTATCATGGACTCCTGTATCATGTTTTGATAAAGGTTCTCTAAACTTTGCCTTCAAAATAATGTCTCCCATGTGGAAATCTGTGAAAGTGTGTGTAAGAGGAATCTACAGCCCCCTTACACCTTTTTCCCTCGCACGAGGATTGAGACATATGCTCCCGGCATGTCCGTTAAGAGCCGCTCTTGGTATGGTCGGTAAGATTCAGGCTCCCTCAAAACCTTTGATAGGTAGGAGCCCCATTTTTTGAAAATGGCAGTTTGGAACCCTTGCAAACAAAAATAATAATATACAAAAAAGAAAATGAAAGAAAGAAAGAAAAAAAAAAGGGTTTCAACCATCTTCAAAGAAAAAAGAGCACCTAAAAAGTTCAGTCCATGATTTTATATTTTTGAGAGTCGCTTTATCTACGGATCATTTGTCCTAAGACCACTACTTGGCATGATCCCCACTCGGGACTACAGTTCTCTCCGAAGAAGCTAGGAGGTGTCTTGTGTATTGGTTGACCTAGTAAGCTGCTAAATGACCTAGGACGTCCTCTGTCGACGATCAAGTTTGTATGTTTCGTAAAGTTATGGAGAGTTGCATTGGTTTGAGTCAGGTTTGCTTGGGGAGGACAAGCAAACGGTTAAGTGTGAGGGAATTTGATAATACTGAATTTGCACATGTTTTTACCACTCGTTTCTTGATTGTTTAGCAAGGTGTTTATCATATTGTAACCTATTTTATGCTAGGTTGTGTTCCTTTGACACATTTCAGGTCCTAGCATCTAAAGTGAAGCATAGGCGCAAGTTTCAAGTCAATCAGAGATCAATTGGCGACTCGGGGGATGAAAATCGGGCATGATCCAAGGAAGAATGGATTTCTACCTAATTTAATGGACAACGAATCATGTAATCTAGGCATGGAAAGAAAGAGGACTGGACTACGAGCGTTTGGGATCAAACGACGTCTGATTCGGAGTTCGGATGAGAGAGAAATGACCGAAAGATACCAGCCTCTCCAATGTTACGGGCTGGCCTTCAAATTTATGGTTCAGACCGTAACTTTGCCATTTAGCCGTAACTCTGGCCCCGCGAAGCAAAACGCATTATAAAGTTAAGGGATGCCTTCAAAGTTACGGGTTGGCCATAACTTTGCCTGTAACTTGGCCTCTAGGAGATGTATAAATGCGTTTTTGAAAATTTTAAAGAGTGAGAGCTGGGTTTTTTATTCCAAACACTCAAAGGACGAACCCTAGAGATAGAGAGCACCTTGGGAGCATTCCTGGAGCTATTTTGGAGGATTTCTTTGCCATTGGAGCTCAGGAATCAAGTTTGGAGATGGAGATTGAAGATCTGGATAAGATTTATGCATTATCTCTCTTCTCTATGGAGTAACTTCCCTTCACTTAGGTTTTAATAGACCTGGCAATTGGTTCGGTTGGGTAATTTCAGGTTGGGGCCTCCGGTTATGGGTCGGGTCATGTTGGGTTGGATGGTTTTGGGTTAAATATTGACCCAACACATTCGGTTTCGAAATGGGTTACAGGTCGTTTCGGATTAAGAGCTCTCAGAAACAATATCAAACATGCTTCATATTTTCTTAAAGAACACAAATTTTCACATATGCATGACAATATTTTACCTAACACATGCCAATTAACATATTGTCAAATCCTCCAATGCTAATGAAATGAAATGAAATAAAATAAAATACAAATTTGTGCAAATCGTCAAAAACAATCACAAGAGTAATACTACTACAAGAAACACTTGATATTTGATTATCTTTAAACTCCAAACATGTCATTTAAATTCTTGTGAATTTTTTAAACCTATCGCTAATTTATGAGTGATTTTATCATTTTGGGAGTGATATATAAAATGAACGGGTCTAACGGGTCAATCCGTTGACCCACTCAACCCTACCCAAAAAATCAAGGTTATCGGGTTCGGGTCATTTGGGTTTCGGATTATAAAAACTTCTACTTTTCGGACGGGTTCAGGTCAGGTCTACGGGTCGGGTTGTAATTTGCCAGGTATAGATTTTGAGGAACCCAAGATTTGTATGCTAGAAAGAGTTGTATGAACTCGAATTCATGATTGATTTATATTTTATGGTCAGTTCATGTTTCAATTCAAAAATGCATGAGTACTAGTCAAATTCCTATGATCCCTGCTTTAATTTAGAACGATAGTCTATGCATAGGTTAAAAGAGCAACCTTAATTAGAAGTAATGAATCGATTGCTTTAGTCGAGAAGCGAACTCACTGCTCTGTGATGGAATTAAAGCCAGTAGATGAAGTTTGGTGTGTTATTACCTTGGTTATTTATGCCGGTGGAGGTTAGTCGCCCGCCGGGTATTCGAACTGAGAGGGTCCTGATTACTTTAGTCGAGATTCCAGACTTGTCAAGAACTTTCCACAATATATCTGTTAACTGAATCGGATTGGGTGAATTACAACTTGGCCTAACTGCACTCTAGGGGGAATCATATCTAAGTGAGTACCCAGTCTGTAATTAGTAGTTTTTCCTAATTTAGCTTATAGAGTAGTTTAGTTAATCAAACCTTAATTTGATTTGCTAGATAATGAACTGAAGCTGAGTAATACTAACTCTAGAGACCCATGGATTCGATATATATTACTTGTGCCACTATACTACAGTCTCTTTCATTGGTTACACTTGGCCATTGTTAGGAGTTGTGTTTTAGCGAGTCACCCGCACAGATTTACTTTTGGGTATCCTCCCCAAAAGGCCTCGTATTAATTGCGCTAGGTGGACACTTATATACAAGGGTCCCAACCTTTGTATTTTTTATGTTGTACATGGATTGCCCATAACAATCCTCCCCTCAAGACAAGGACCAAGAAATTCATGTATTCACCTCAACGATTATCTTAATCTACCAAACAGATGCGGATCTTCGCTGACCCGCCAGACAAACTCAGATCTCAAATATCGAGGTCACCGAATGAGGATCCCACCAAACTGACTTCCACAACCCCGAACCAAATCAGGCTCTTATACAACTTGCCTAAACTGGGCAGCTACATTAGTACGATATTGTCCACTTTGGGGTAAGCCTGAACATATTTACTTATGGTTAATTCTCTCCAAAAGGTCTCGTACTAATTGAGCTAGGTGGACACTTATATACAAGAGTCCCTTCTTTTGTATTTTCGATTTGGTACTTAGATTTCCCCCATAACACTTTCTGATAGCCTAGGTGTGATGAGGAGCAAGCTTAAGCTTAAGTATGAAGAGCTAGAAGGTAAACAACCAAGGAACTACTAGTTAGCAGCAAAGTTCTAGAATTGTGAATTGTATCCAAGTCTAGCTTTTGCCAATTTTGTGAGTACGTTTGTTGAACAATCATCGCCATATTGTTTATCTTGCCTTAACCACTACCGTTGTCATCTTCAACTTAGCCTTTTTATTGCCAGATCAGCAGTTTTCTAGGAATTGTGGAGTTTCTCTTATTCTTGGTGTCTATGGGTTTGGTAGAAGATTTTAACTTCCATATATCAACTCTTCTTTTCTTTTCGGCAATCCAATTTAATTAACTCCGGATTCAAACATACACTACTACCGTATAATCTATCAGCTAATTAATCTACAGCTACTTCATTGACAATCGATAAGAATCCAGAAGAAAACAAAAAGGATGATGAAAAGGACAAAAACCGAGAAGAAGAAGAAAAGACAACCCTAATCCTCATCATGACCATATATATCAATCGTCGTCATCTAGAACAGGATGCTCGTTATCCTCGTGCCCTTCGGTAGCATTTCTATGTTGTTGAATGACCAAAATGGAAGCACCCAAATTAAGCTCCGCAGAAGCCAGAATGTCTCCGACGGCCCCTAGCTCCGGACATTCCTCCCAATCGCTCATCCCCGTGGTCATCGGAGAATTCCCTCGGCCGCCTTTTCCTACTATGAACAGTGAATACATCTCACCTATCTCTTTCAGTATCTCAACCGTTTCCTCTCCACTCTCCGTCTTCTTCTCCATGTACTTCACCTTCCCTGACGTCACATATCTGAAACAAATATTATATGCGCTAGTCGTTAGTGTTATATATCTCTGTTTAAGAAAATAGTTATAAGAAGTAAACCGGATCAAGGGTTAGACTAGTAACATCATCAAACCAATTACAATAGCAGTTCGATTTTTTTTTTTTTTTATGAATTGGCATGAACCGACAAGATGAATGACTCTGAGTTTGATTTAGTCACAAAAAATAAGAGAAAAATATTTTAATTTGAAAAAAGATCATCCAATCTGAATTACTAATTTTATTTATGATTCGTTTTCTTCGTTTTCCGGCCTTCTTGTCAGTTTTGCGTGGTCCACTATGGATACTCCAATTAAATTTAATAAAAAGTATGATTTATTTTGTGAAATAATTTGAATGATTTGTTGGAAGGACGATGCAGATTTGAAATTGTCATCATTAGAGTAATAAATTCAGTTTCAAAATAGTATATTATATAAGTCTCTAATTTTATGTTATAGTGTTCTATCAAAAGTTAACCAACAATTTTTCATAAAAAAAAAAAAGTTAACCAACAATTCTATAACAATTAATCATTGAACCATAACCTAATAACTTTTCTGGTTCAGGATCCGGACATCAAAACAGAGGAAAAGAGTATCAATGAGTAGAGATCGAGTTCAATCACGCACCTGTTGCAAAAATCCTCCATGAAAACATTATCAATGGCCATATCCACCTCATGGCTGGAGATCGAGATATGCTGCTCCTCTTCCTCACCGTTCCTATCATGCACCTGCTGATTCTTCGGCTGACCCTCCGACTGAAATCTAATGATCGTCAAGTTCACGTACGGATGCACGGCGATCCTCTTGCAACAGGCCAGTGCCTCCCTGTCGTCGGGCCCACCAAAGAACAACATGGCCACGTTCTGGACCAGCTCCGGGCTCGGGAGCTGGAACCCGGTGAGCCCACGGTCCACGAATATCCCGACCGAGCAGGGCGCGTGGCGCATCACCTTCTGGTTCACGATCCTCACCCCGTCCTTGTCGTTCTCCAGCTTCCCATCCAGCCGCTGGTGCTTGTGGAACGTGAGGAACACGATCGACACGCGCAGGTCCTCGGCGGTGGAGCACACGTCCTCGTACACCTTGGGGAACCAGGAGACGGCCTTGCTCTGGTGGACGAGGATCTTGCTGTCGGTCGTGAACGCGTCCACGGCGTCGTTGATCTCGATGATGTCGTTGCCGCCGTACTCGTCGTCGTCGCTGAACTGGTCGCCGTCCTGAAGCTCGTGGTACATGAGTTTCTTCTTGCGGCGGTGTCGTTTTTGGAGCTCGACGAGGTGGACGAGGTAGGGGACGGTGGGGGAGCGTTGGGAGCCGGTCATGGTGGCGATGAGGCCGAGCTTGGAGGTGATGTGGCGGGACTCGTAGACGCAGGCCAGGAAGCGGAGCTCATTTTCAGGGTCGAGGAACTCCAAGAAGGTGAGCTTGTGGGCGAAGTACTTCCTGTCGCGCTTGAGGATGAAGGAAACCACTGGACCGGCTATTAGGGTGTTGATCACCACTATGATGATCACTAGCTTGTGTGTGTTGTCGTCCCACCATGTCTGTCCATCAATCAACGTGAAACCAATATTTAAAGTGAGTTACCAGTGCTGGCATGAAGAAAACTAGTGTCTCGAGAGATGGTGTGGTCTGGTCTAGATTGGACCTATAATACAAATAATTTTTGGTCCAAATTGAGAAGATCGGATATAGATCACGAACCAAACAAAATATTATGTGGTACGGATCAAATCATGCATGTGCAGTGTGGTTCGATATGGGTTGGACCATGCATATTATATTGAGCAAAAAATGAATAAATTTTTAGTCAACTACACGAAAAATCAACCTAATAATCGAGAAAAATATGTTTTTCCCTTAAAACATAAATTCCAAATAAATAACAAAAACACAAGTGAGAGCAACCCAATTTGCATCGTAATGTCATATGAAGACACAATCATCTCTACTTTGTGGTGGAGTGTACTTTATGAATGAAGGAGTGGACGGAATTTGAAAAATTAGAGAATGTTGAGGTTTTTATGGATCTCTTTGAGGAGTTGGAAAAATGGTAAAGTGAGCAACTAACACGAATGGGAAAGTGGACAGAGTCCACGGTTTGATTTGGTTTGATTTAACTTGGTGAACCACAATCAGACCAAACAATTCTTATTCTACGATGCTGATCAAACTATATGGTCCGGTTTGATTCATAATTTTTCAAATGATCTGATTTATTTTCTACTTCTATAGGAGAAACGAAGAATGAAAAATATGATAATAAATAAAAAGAATTTGAAGGGTTGGAACTTACATCTGACCTGGAGAAAGCTTCGATGACAAGAAGCTCGCCGTGGCCCTTCAAGTTGAGAATGAAAGCAAGCACCACGGCTTCATTCCTGGGGATGTTGAGGTAATGGCAGGCGCAGAGCGTGCCGATGATCTTCCCGCCCATGCTCAGCAGTATCAGCAGCGCCACCACGATGCAGTTCCTGACGTTGATGAGGTAGTTGACGTCGAACCTGAAGCCGTTGAAGCCGAAGTAAATGGGAAGGATGAAGTTGTTGACCGCGTAGGTCAAACGATGGAGCAAGGTCCTGGTGGTCTTGCCTTCCTTGGGGAAAGCCACGCCGACGAGGAAGCAGGAGATCATGCTGTTGAACCCTAACTTCTCGATCATGAAGGAGAGCAGGATGACGAGGAGGAGGATCCCCGACATCTCCGTGCTCGGCACGAACTTCATGTGCCTCCTCCTCTTGTTGCACCAGTTGGCCAGGTATCTATTCATCATCATCAGTTAGTTCAGTGTCAAGAAATTTATTGATGGCAAGGATAGTAAGAGAAATTTAATTTATGTCCATCATCACAATGAAAACAATGAAGTTTGTGTACTGAAGGAGATAAAGGGGAAAGTATGAGGAGCAAACGGAGAAAAGAAAAGGACAAGGTATTGTGAGACAAAGCTATTTTATTTTTAAGATATAAAACATTTATTTTGAGAAACATATCCATGTTATGAAGTTTAACAAACCCATCTTTGTACTGTTTTCTTTATTTATTTCTAGTCGACCTATTAAAATAATTTATCTAAATGCATTATTATGTCGTCAATCATGTTTACTAAGCACATCCGGCTAGCTAAGTGCTAAAAATTCTAATTTTCATTTGTCATCAAACCCATTAATTAACATCGACCTAGCATACCAGAACGACAGATGTACTAAAAATTGAGAATGGATATGAGATGTGTATCTAAGTTCACAATCTTTGGTTAATTTTCATATTTATAATTTTTGTTGGGAAACATACTCGATAATTATAAGGATGCATTTTTCAATAATAATAGTCAAATTTTGAAAGATACAGAGATGTAGCCACATTTCGGAAAAAATACGTTTACACTAACTACACTATTGACAATCTCATGTTTTTGTATTACACAAAAATTTTGTACTGTCAGTTATTTTCTTATATAATTGTTCAATCAAATGTGATATTTTCATAACTTAATTGCTTTACTTTGCCCCATCAATTCGACGCTAAGCCAAATTCATAATTTTCATGTTTATAATATTATGTATGAAAAATACACCCGGATATATATAATAGTCAACTTTACTCCAGTCAGCATATTAAAAAAATTATTCAAATGCATTACTTTGTCGTCGAATTATGTTCAATAAGTACATCGTGCTAGCTACACATTTAAGTGCTAAAAATTCTATATTTCACCAATCATGAAACTCCTTTAATCGACATCTTTCTCATATGTCCAAGATATATGTATTATAAAATGAGAGTCGATGTGAAATGTGTATCTAAGATAAACAACTAATTTGTTATCAAATAAAAAAGATAAACAACTAACCTAGCTAGAAGCTAGAATACTACGTTTGGTAAACGTGAGTTTTGACCTTAACTCTATTTAATTTCAATGAAATTTCAAATGCAATACTAAAATAGATATATGCTTGTTAAAAAAAATCATAATATAACCACCTATTTGTTAAAATAACGTAGAATAGGGACTAAAACACCATTATATTAATTAAGTATTAACCCGATTCTTTTCTTTTGTCGAACTACTATTTGATGCCCAAACAATAAGTTCCTCTCCTTTTTTGTCCTCGATGAAAATAAAATAAAATAAAATAAATGTACCTGTTGGCGTAGGCGACGATCCCAGTCCCGACGATGCAAACAAGCGCGAACCCAAACATCTTCCCGGAGCTGAATGCCAGGTAGGTGGAGTACCACGTGATGCAGAACAGCTCCATGAACAGCGCCGCGCTGATCGCCAGCCTCCCCGGTTCCGCCGTGTCGAACTTCAGCTCGGCCACGAGCCGGACCACCACGGGGGACGCCACGCTGGCCACGATGATCATGATGACGTTGGCGAACGCCAGCCTGTGTGCCGTCACCTTGAGCACGTTGATGACGAAGAACGAGGCCGCGGCACCGAAGGCGGCGCACACGGCCACGTTCCAGGCCGCGATCACGCCGATCCGCTGGAAGTTCCGGCAGATGTAGGGCAGGTCGGCCTCCAGCCCGATGGTGAACATGAAGAGGATGCGGAACACGAAGAGGAGCAGGAAGCTGTAGTCCTCGAACGCCGGCTGGATGAATATCTGCCGTATCCGGTCGATTTTGCACAGTAGTGACGGTCCCAGCACCAATCCTGCCTAAAACCAAAATTGAAACAAAAAAAAAACATTACCGTAAGAACATGGGAAAGAAAAACAAAGAGGCCGTGAAGAACCAGTTGATCCCAATAACTCGAGTTGGGAGAGGTTCAATCGTGGATCATATACCACAACACTAACACGCCCCCTCAAACGAAAGCCACTGACAAGGGCTTCAAGGGCTTGAAGTTTGCACAGGTCTGAAGACAAGAATACCATGTGCTTAACAAATGGGGGTCACAGGGAATCGAACACAAGACCTCTCGGTCACAGAAGGCTCTAATACCATGTCAAGAACCAGTTGATCCCAATAACTCGAGTTGTTGGGAAAGGTTCAATCGTGTATCATATACCACAACACTAACAGAGGCATACTTTAATGGCGATCAAATTGTACCAGAATCTGGGCGACGGGGCCGGGCTGGCCGAAGGGCTTGAGGATGACGTGGAAGATCTGGGAGACGAGGAGCATGCCGCAGGTCTGTACAAAAGTTGTATTGAAAGGGTTCCATAGGTCGTGGGTACAGAGGAGGCGCTTGGCTTGATCCATAATGGTCGTGGTGTAATTAGCATGGTAATGGGGAAGAACATAGTAGAGATTAGGGCTCTTACGTACTTTTGCGTGATTTTAATTTCTTTACCCACCGTGAAAAGCCGGGCTAGGGTTCTTTTTCTTTTGTTTTCTCAAGGGAGTTGGAAGGAAGTGTGAAGGAATAGCTTGATGAGGCTGAAAATGGTGAGGAATGGGATACAGGACAGCATGGTTATTGATGAAACAAAAAGGTGATCGCAAGAGAAAGAGATCATGTGGAAGAAGAAAAAAGGGTGTTTCTTTTTTGGTGCTTGGGGATTGATTTGGGTGCGAGTATGGCTTTTTTTCTCTGGCTTCAATTGAATATTTTTGTTGATTGAATTGTTGCCCAGAGGAAAGATGGATACATTGATGGAGGATCTTTGTTCCCGGGAAATCCTAATTTGGATGCCTTGTTGCCTTTTTAATTGTCTTCCAACGAGAAGAGTTTCTTCATTGAGTCAATTGTTTTCTTCCTTCCTTCATTTCTCTAGGGTAAAAAAAATGGGGTAAATGACACATTTGGTCACTGAGATTACTAAATCGTGTCATATTTGGTCACTAGAAAAATTTAATATCAATTTTGGTCACTCGAATTACTGACACAGGTCACATTTGGTCATTCTCCTGTAGCCTCTGTCCAACCCCGGTCACTCGAATTATTGAAAAATGTCACATTTAGTCACTCGGATTACTGAAACATGTCACATTTAGTCACTCTCCCAAAAGTTTCCGTCCAACTACATTAATGGAGTTGGACAGAAACTGACGGGAGAGTGACTAAATTTGACCAGTTTCAGTAATTCGAGTGACCAAAATTGATATTAAATTTTTCTAGTGACTATACATGACACAATTTAATAATCTCAGTGACCAAATGTGTCATTTACCAAAAAAAAATGTAACATTATTTCAATGGTTAGCCGATATGCATGCATTACAGGCATTTTTAAGGGTGAGATAGTAAGACACTCCGTCTCTTTGCACGGTTGCACGTTTTTCTTAAGTGGTTTTGGTATGAAATATTTGTGGTAAGAGTTCAGAATGAAAAGGTCTTCCCTGCAGGCTGAAATCAAAAAAATAAAAACAGGGGATAGTGGTTGCAAAAATGCTAAATCACTAATAAGAGCGTCTTATTCGCCACGATATGGGTATCCCTTTGTTCCTACTATGAGTGTAATGGAATGGCACCCACCCTTTGAGCAAGAACTGAGAACCTGAACTTCTATATATACTAGTAAGGAAGCCCGCGCTCCGCGGCGGGGGAAGACCAATGGAGAATTTAAATACGAAAACTGAGAAATGGTCCTTGAGATGCTATGTAAGTTCTTTGTGTTCAAGTCTGACTTAGTTTTGTACAATAGTTTATAAAAGAATCTGAAAGGCTAAAAACCCATGGTACCATATTGGAGAGTCCTGTACAACTGAGGTTTACCCGAAGGCATAAAATGTAGTATGAACAAAGTGGAAGAATAAACAATCCCAATAAACAATAGGTTGGAAGTAGTGAAACGGCAGTACGATATAAACGAACAATTAGATCAGCGACATTATGACAATGCAACAGGAAAGAACAAAGAAAAAACCATTTCGTGAGATATGAAAGATAAATCTTCATATAGGTCAAATGATACAACTTGAGACCTTTCATTATCATTCCTTGAATCTCATTGGAAGACAGAACATACAATTTCCAGTCTTCCATTTTCATTACATGGAACCTAGGATAGAATATAAACCCAGAGTTGAGTAAGCGCTCACCAAACACCATTTTCCCACACATTTGATCTAATATAAACAATCACATCTTTGTTCGTTTTCTGTTGGAAGAGTGAGTAGAGCACAACACACTTTGAGTGGAAAGAGCTGGAAAAAGTCACAAACTCATAAGCCTGTAACAGCAAGTATCGATATCTGGCTATATATAAACGTAACACTATGAAGAAAACATCATTCCAAAAGAGTTCAACACAATGACCTTCACTTCAAAACCAAAAAACTGCCATCAGAACATCAACTGGAAAATCCCATCGCCCGAAAGTTCCCATCACCGCGATTGCATATAGTACCATGGGCTCGAGCGTAAAATCCAAGAGCATGCAGGCTGACTCAATATCACTATGATGGTCAAGAAACAAACTTTGCCAAGCTGTTCCATATTATCATCAGCAAGGCTCCATACGACTAAAGGAAATCAAACAGCACAGTAAGGAGGGAATGGCGGCAAAAGCAAAGCACAAAAGGGATTCACATGAGAAGGTCTATCCTAAAAATACAACATATACGTATCACTTGATGTCATGCCTCTTTGTCGAACTACAAAATTCCAACTATCCATGATCAATGGGTGAAACAATAATTCTGGACCAAAAGCATACCATAAATACAGTGCAAGTAAAGTGACCGGCCTCAGGCCTGTAGTTTGCAGGCTCATACCAGTTCTAAGCAACCTCATGCAGGTGCGGTGTTTTGACATTAAACGCATCCTACTGTAGTCAAGGACAGAAATATTGACCCTTGAAAAGTAAAGAACAAAAGTGCAAAGTGGCAAAGGACGTGAATTATTGCCAGAGTAACGTTTTACAGAGATAGCTGAAATCAATACCGGAAAGAATAAGGATCAATTAAAGCATAACCTGATCATCGAGTTCTTTTTATCTCGTGGATGGGAAGACATTCCAGAATTGCAGAGTTTCAGCTGCTGCTTCAGTAACCATTGACAGTAAACAAAAGAAAAACCTTTAGAGTTTCAGTTTTAGTTCCTGATCTAGGTACATGAGGCTCTTACTCCACATAACTTGTAAATGGGATTATAAATTAAGAGGGCCACAGATACCATGATCGAGGCAAAACATAACCAAATATCTAGCACAGAAAGCAAGAAGAGGAACTATAATTGAAAAAGTCAACCTTTGTTGGATTTATGTGGTGAAGGATAAGAATTTCTACTTAACCGTGTCATTAGAGAAGAACAGCAAGCGAAGACCAAAACAGAACCAATCTAACATAAAGGAGACCAACATTGTTCCCACAATTAACTCAAAAGTCTAAAACTGGGCTGCAATCACAGCATAAGGAGATGATAGAATGCAGCGCTTGAAAAGAAATGAACCATGCTTTCACGATTCGATTGAAAGAAATCATATGATGTTTCTTCCTAGATTTAACTTTATTTGTGATCGAAAAGATGAACAGACATGAGCATAAGAAATAAAGGAGTTGAGACTGTAACCTACATCAGCACAGGTCCAAGTCAATTTGTATACAGACGTAATCCAATCGCATATGAACTAACTACAAATATGAGAAACTAAAAACAGAAAAGAACTACCTGAATACCAGAATCAGCGACGCCGCTCATTCTTTTCCTTTCAACTTGTCTCTCCTGCTGGAGGTACAGGTGGAACTGTGAGATAAGTATCGATATATGCCTCCTCCACGCTAACTGCAGCGAACCCAATAGACCATAACCCTTAGATGTTCTGAGAGTAAGAGGTGTCAGTAAGAATAATTCAGCATTGCATCCGAACATCCCCGATTACCAAACTAACCGAGCACAATTGTAAATGGTGTTCAATGAGCACAATATCTACAAATGGCACACAACACAGATAACATGGCTAGTGTTATCTCCTCCAGTGTCGCTGATGGGCCAAAAACTTCACTGCCTTCCTCGTGTCCTGCCCGACTCCTCATCTTTGTTGAGAACTTCTATCCTATTACAGGTATGTTGCCACATCAGGGCCGGAATATTTCATTTACAAAAAGCTAAAAACATGTAAATTCGTGCGGATAGATATAGAATTCGTATGAGAATGTTTGGGGCCTATTCAGAGCTCTTATTCTTATCATAACAACAAAAATGAGGAACACAACTTACAGATCAATGTAGAGAACCAGTTGCAGGAAAGGATTTTGTTGCATGCAATTTGAAGTCCCCTCGAGGCCTTGACTATCGATTTACTAATGAAAATCGAACCACCATCGACACAACATGGTCCGCATCTGAAGCTGCTTATTCTCAAAGGAAAAAGTACATCTCCTATTACAGTGGCATTGTTTGAAGACCTAGCTGTAATGCAGCACAAATGCACAATTGGAGACGGATATCAATTTTAAGCTGCAAAAATAGCAGAACAGGAATGAGTAATATACTAATGACCTTGTTTTGGCATACCCCGCGAGTATAGACGCAGACTGGACTGGTTGCTGCTCACGACATGCAAGGACACCGAATTCTGGCGCCTTCAATTTAAATAACTTAAATGAGAACCATAAGAAACCAAAACTGCCAATTCTGCTGATTCATCAGCGCCATTCAGTTTTGGTTACCCATTAATGCAGCTTAATGGTTTTTTCTCATTAAGAATGTGTTTGCTGGTTTGGCAACAACTGACTTAAAGGAAAAGCACCTAAGTGAAGTTTTGTGAAACAAACATAGGACCTGCTGCTTTTCTTCAGATCTCTCAAATTAGGCACCGCCACTTGATCTCTTCAAACGTGACACTATAGCTCCTGCATCACTCTCAACCCCAGTGCTGCAAAGCACAACACCAACATAAGCGAGAAGGTACAGTGAGAGAATAAACATGAATATTAAATAGCACAGGAAGAGTCAGGAAATATGTAGAAGATTTGATAGAGCAGAGAGATCGGTGAACCGCCACAACTCAACAAACAATTTCCAATTACCCAAGATACGCATCTCAGAGACCAAACCCCTAAAAATACAAAACAACTTTTAATCACCTAACAGGTTGTTAGAACAGAATCTCGAGCCACTCTTCCAGGAGCAATGCTTACTCTTTTCACATAACAATAACAATGATAAAAAAATATTTAACTCTGCCTCTGGAAGAGTCGAAGAATAGGTTATGGCGCTCTAAATTTCATCATGCTGGAGCAGCAAGAAATATATGGCCACTTCTTGAGAAAGGACATCACTGACGACCCTGATGTGCCTTTAGAAACTGTTGTAGAACCCAACAAAGTAGACAAATGGTCAATATAATTGAATTAAGAACTCAACCAAGCATGTAATATACATGTTTTTTTGGTTTGTGTTCATTCTTTTGTTTTCCAGTAAGCCAAGCTGTGATGGTAAATTCAGGTGATACATGTCAGAACTCTAACTC